TGGTGTCTATTACTCTGTATTGGCGTCTTATTGGTGAGTTGATGTTGGCTTCTGTCTTTCAGGAGCTGAAGTCTGTTGTCTATTACTCTGTATTGGCGTCTTATTGGTGAGCGGATTGCTCCTGCTGCTGCATGCTGGATAATTGTACTCTCTGTTGATGCTAGGTCTTCTTGAGTAGTTCGATGATCTCGTAGAAGATTGGGTGGTCATGTTGAATTCTGTACTTAATCTTCTTGTGCAATCCTTCCAGGAAGTTGGTGATGCTAGTCCTTCGGTCAAATAGTGGTTCCATAAAAAGCGGTATCCTTCAAACCAAAACTCTGTCACGTAGTCGGTAAATGTTGTAGTAGTGGGTACGTTGTCAGTTTCATCGATTTCCTCCAGATTTTAAAGGACATTAGCTGTCAAATTCATGATCACCGATTTGACTTAAATTTTCATATTTGATGCATAACATACTAATACGTAAATCAAAATTACAAAAAGTTCAAAAGAAACAAACAACAATGCATAGACTCAGTATAATGTATCGGAATTCCGTGTGTATTTTAGACAAGACGCAATTTAATTAACAATCGAGATTACCTCCGAAGATTACCGATAATCATTCGACCCGAAATAAACATAAACATAAATAGATTGAAAAGCACCCGGAGTTGTGCAATTGGTTTATTCTGGCTATTCCATCATTTTGAATTTTATAAAATATCAAAAATTCATGTTGGAGTTCCCAGGATTATTTTGTTGACCTGGGATCATTTTGTTAACAAAGAGATTAGGTTGGATTATGCTGTAAGAACAATTGACTAATTAATCAAGGTCAAACAGGTAAAACTGCGTTCCTCCATATCAGAGCTCAAAGTAACTTGGCTTAGCTTAATTTAATAGTCATATTACTGCACTGCTCATAATCAAAATACTTAATTAATTTAAAGTATACGATCTTTAATTATGAAATCTCCTTTTAAATGAATAATAACTTATTCGTAATAAATAATAATTTTTATTTGATGGTGAAGCAAGTAGTTGAATTATTAAAATATGTTTGAATTCCCTCCTTTTAAAAAATAAATTTGTATTTATTGGTAGTTTTGAATTTTAAAGATGTAACATCTTGATAAAGGCGTTTTCTCCAAAAGAATAAATTTTATTCATTATTTCACGCTAAAAAAAACTATTCAGTGTGTGACCATTAGTTTCATATAAACTATTATTTTTCCTTTACTTTCAACAGGTAAATTTGCCTATTATTTATTTAGACACTAATGATTTACACAACATATTTTGCAATCACAGCATCTATTGTTCTTTTCATGTAGGAATAGACAGAATATGAAAATTCAAAATGTAGGAATAGCCAGAAGACACCGTGTAATTACGGTTTTTCCAAAAAAAACTGTAAATCTTGGTTTTAACTGGATAAGAATGGTTCTTTTTTTTTGTGGCAAAAAAAATGTTTTTATTTTAAGGTGGGTCCCTTGTTTCACTTTTCAATGTTGACATCCTTTTCTTTTTAATAACTGAACACGCTTAGGGATGTTTTCGATCGTATTTTGACCAAATTGAACCAAACTGACGGCTACGTAATTCATTATTCCGCTTTTATAACTTTCCAACTGTTAGAAAGAAAAAAAGACGTATTTTATTTTTTTGTCTTAATGACAGTTAATGCCCCTTTAAGTCAAACATCTCACAAAAGTGTGAAAAATTATTAACATCTTGGAAACACTAATAAAACTTGCTTTAAAAAACTTAGCTCTCGTGATTACTAATTGAAACAAAAAATACGTCAATTTATTTGAATTTATTGTTTGATTCTGTATTAAAATTTCAGAAAGAAGTATTAACAAAAAATAACAATAAATAAAGGTAAATGAATAAAAAGCAATTTTGAATGACACTTATTCCTAAGTTTCATAATGTTACTCTTTTTTTTCAAAATTATACAAACTTAAAACAATTGCAGATATTTTTTTCAAAATAATAAACATTTCTGTATATTTTGTTAAAAATATTAGTGAAATATAAATGCATTAATCTGGTAAATTTATAAGATATTTCCAAAAAATGCATATATTTTGTTATAACTATTTTGCACATTTCCCTGAATTTAAAAAAGAGAGGCAAAAGATACCATTCAAACTCATAAGTCGAAAATAAACTGACAACGCCATGGCTAAAAAGAAAAAGACCAACAGACAAACAACAGTACATAAAACACAACATAGAAAACTAAAGAATGAGCAACACGAACCCCACCAAAAACTGGGGGTGATCTCAATTGCACCGGAAGGGTAAGCAGATCCTGCTCTAATGTGGCACCCGTCGTATTGCTCATGTTAGTACAAACCCGGTAATAAATCTAATTAGGTAGGTCACATTCGTGGAAAAGCGGACAGGATTGTAGTTATCCGCTATCATCTGTGAAACGGATATTCCATAACGGTCAAACAACTCGTGATGGCATCCGTAAAATTTATGAAGGGCTGATTTCAGCTTCACCACTTGGAACTCTTGGTTTAATAGCTTCCTTGTGAGCAGCAACCCTCTATCAAGGAAATCATGGTAGGAAATACAAGCCCTGGAATATCGTATCAATTGGGAGATATATACTCCGTATGCAGGCGCTGCTGGAATGTTGCTACATAGAAATGGAAAGTTCACAATTGGGAAGCTGAAATCGACAGTCATACAAGTGAGAGGATTAGCTAGCTATAAAATCAGGTTTAATCCACCATTTTCTACGTAAGGAAATGCCTTACTAAGTCAGGAATATGACAGTTGTTTTCCATTCGTAAGATGTGTTTGAGCTTTTGATTTTGCCATTTTATACAGAACTTTCCGTTTTGATTTTTCCTTGGAGTTCGGTATTTTTGTTATTTTACTTTTTCATCTCTTTTGTCGTAAAGTTTTGTTTTCAACCGACCCTCATTGTCAATTTCTAGATGCAAGTCAAGATATGAGACAGACTTAACTTTATCTGTTGTATCTTTTTTCGCAAATTCGATGGGATAGATTAATTGTTGAATTTCGTATCCTTTATAAAAAAATTTCAGGTAAAATAAAGGTGAAAAATATTACTTTAATTCAGAAAATAAACTATAATTGTTAAAACGATTATCACCTTATGTTTTTATTTACCTGTAATAAAATGCTGGCAAACCAGGATGACACCGTTCAAAACATACAAATGATGATCGTTGATTAAATAAAAAAACGAATCTTTTTATTCCGTCACTTGCAGACAATTCTTATGAATACAACCCATAACTGTAGTTTACAATGGTGTCATCCTGGTTTGCCTGCATTTAATTGCAGGTATATAAAACATAAGGTGTTTGTTGTTTTAACAATTAAAGTTTTGAATACCTACAATAAATATTCAGCTGTTCTATCTTTAGCTTAATTATCACATGATTAAATTGTTAACTAAAATCTGAGAAACAAATCCATCTAGACTAAGCCCATACAATATGTAGTTACTCCAAACGCGAGTAGCAATACTTTGATTCTAACAAAACTTTTATTCTGACAAATTTGTTGTATGAAAACATTATTTATCCGCCTCTACAGTGACGGATAAATAAAAATATATAAAAAAAAGTCAAAACCATACAAAAGACATATTCAAGACGATGATTAAAATATTAGTATCAAGGATCGATTTCTTATTTATATATAATTCTTCTAAAATTGGACAGAAATATCAAGAGATAGGCGATTTAAAGTATACACTGATATATTTAGTAACCAATAGATGAAAGACTTATACAAACGGGTTTCCTAAATAAAGCTAAATGGTTAAATAACTGGAAGAAAATAAAAATAGTTTCCTTACTTATGAACTGACAAAATCGGTAATTGCTTAGTATAAAATGCTGAGTTTGATTTGGTTAAGTTCTAAAATAAATAATGACCTTGTCAGGAAGAAAATTGCGGAAAATGTTTATGTTGTTTATTTTTTTTTTTTTTTTTTTTTTTGTAAAGTTTTTATTTTTCATGATGTAACATGTGAAAAATTCCTATTACAGTAATAGACACAAATTATAAAAAATAAGTAACACTTGTAAGATCGACCAAGTCATAAGATATTTTACAATTGATTTGGTTAAATAAATGCTGCTTCTAACAATTGCCACTTCTGATCTATTTTTACTTTTTGTGCAGGGGTTAAGAAACATACAGAGTATTTTTCTATATTTATTCAATATTTTAAATACTAGTATTCTACCCCACCATATGTTGTGGACAATATATTTTTACATCTACATTTGTATATATAGTATTTAAGTAGCAACGCAATATTATTTACTGTTTTACTATAAACAAAATCCTCAAACACACCTAAAATGACTTCTTTTGCGCTAAAAGGCATGACAATGTCATAATTTCTAATCCAATTAATCATGGATTGCCAGAAATTTTGTATAACATTACATTCCCAAAAAATGTGAAAAAAAATTCTCTGAAAATGTTGATGTTGTAACCATGGGAACACTCTATGACCAGGCCAAAAATAATAATTAAGAAGTTATTGATTTGCAAACAAATATGCCGATCCGTTAATCTCGAAAACTAAGCGCCTTTTTCTTAAATTGTCCCTCCTCAAACACTCTTTGTTTATTGATATTTCAAATCTTCGATTATTTTTTGTTTCGGCCTGTTGATTGAGAGAAATTATATTTATAATATAAATGTACATGAAATCAGACAGACAACTTTTAGCAGCATAATAATCATTATTTCGATGATGAATATTTCTACGACAAATTTTGTTATTTGGATATCCTTATTCATAAGTCGGAACTGCACAATGCAATGTCCCAAAACAGATTGATTAAAACAAATCGAATTTCGTATTTGAATGTTTTCAAGAACGTGTTTGATTTCATGTATGAATTAAGTAATGAAATAGAAATACATATTCGCCGTTAATAAGAATATGTTTTAACATGTTCACATTATAGTATTCTCACTTTAGTTAACTTTACAAATTAAAGGTTCATCAAGTATGGCTTATCCCGGACAAAATCAACATCTATATCCACAGCGACAACATCAGTCAGTAGGACAACATCAGTCGATGGTACCATATCCACAATCTCGACCCAACGAATATCGAGGAGGAACACAAGGAGGGAGCAACAATAACTATTCCCGCTCAACAGGGAATTATCAACCAAGTCGTCAAAATGCTAGTAGTGGTGGGTTTGTGAATACTGGAACTATGAATATAAATGTCCATCCGAAAAGATAAACAAAATCCACAGCTGAAACTTGAAAACCACACCTGCTTCCTAGTGTAGACGTAAATATTATATTCGAAATTATAGACTTTGTCATAATGACATTAGTTTTTATTGTGTTATTATATTATAAATGCTTTGCTTATTTTCCGCATGTCTTTTGAGATATCCTAAAATGTTTTGTTGTACATATGGTGGGAAAACAATTGTCCGAAAACCGAAACTATTAAGATGAATAGTTTAGTACAAAATGCATACATGCACATCAATGTCGTGTTTTTCAGGTTCAATAAGTACAATTTGTCGTGACCAATTAAATCTTATTTCGTTTTTCTATTATATACATTTTGGCCATCATACAGTTGTCTATAAATCGTCATTTATTGGTAATCAAACGGTCATTATAAATTATTTATAATTCAATTTTACGGCGAAAGTATGTTATATTTGAAATACACTTGTTCAGTGAGTTAGGGTACAAGGAAGGTCAGAAAATTACTAATCATCTTATGTGATATTATATACTGACCGCATTTAGAAAACACTAGTTTATTCTTTTTAATTACGTCACCGTTGAAGGCAATGACTGTCTGTAACCAACGCCAAAATGATTGTCAGAAAGGTCAACCAATTCTGTATGGAATGTTTTGAGTTCTGTTTTGTACCTTCTGATTGTGCCTCTGTCCCACACATTACAGTGTGTTTTGGCAATTATGCGGTTTAAACTTTAGGGCTTTAAATGTTTTTTCTGCAGTCGATTCTGTGGCATTTCAGTATATAGGAAACATTTATGCAGTGAATCTGTCTGCCATGGAATTCGGCGACTTGATTAGCAGTTGCCATTGAGGCTGTAAACATGTCTCGAAAATGACGTTGCCTAATCAAATTCTATCGACATGGCGTTGTCACTACATATTGATCTGGTCATGGATGGTCATCAAAAAATCTTGTCTGCCTGTATCGTTGCTGTAAGGACAGTACTATAAGACGAGTTTTGGACGTGAAATTATCCGGTAACAGCACGTTCACGTTTCTCTGCCTGCCATATTCTTATGGGCTGATTCAGATTAGGCAATATGGAGATGCAACATTTTTAAACTGATTTAAGTGTGGGTATGGATTGAAAGAATTGTTTCACGAAGTAACAATCTTAAAAAAATCATTTATGGGTTTCAAATTTCGCTTCAAAAAAATTCGTTCGACTTCAATAATCCGGTATGTTCAATGATCTCAGGTAAGTCAGATTTTGAATTGTTCTTAACAGAAAGAAGTATGGTAAGCATGAATAGTAGTTATATGAGGATCAATCATGATTTGGTAAAAAAAAATCAACAAAATGTGTGTTGCTTTTTAAAGTTCGTATAAGAAAGGGTTTACAATAGAGAAAACATTTTTATTCATGTTATCAAATTGATTCAATGATGCCTGAATTGTTATACCAGTCCAAATTACTAAAACAATTTATTTAAACAAATTCTTCTTAATGCTACTGCACGTTTCACGAATTTTCACAAAGGATAATCAAAATTCGCCATGCATGCCTATGAAGTCACTTACTCCGCAATTTATTGTTACATTATTAATTGATTTTTATAATTGACATAAGCTTACAGGGGTATTAGTTGATCGTCAAAATTTAAACAAAAGAATCACATAGGTTTTATTGCAAATCTTAGACTGTAATGTCATGCCAAGTAAAGAGCTACAAGCCGAGACGACTAAATATTCACCAAAGTCAAAATGTCATGTATTGACTTGACATGCACTAGAAATAGACAGGGTAAGAATGAATAACACTGGTACCTTGAATATATCTAAAATTCAACAAAAATTGCAAAAAGATAAATTTACCAGTAGAACCATACTTGTCTGCCATATTTGTTTGGGTGACTGTTAAAAGGAAACAAAAATTACATTTTTCGTTGGATTTCATTTTACTATTTATGAAAATGTTGGATCAAGCATAATTGTAGTTCCATCGACAGTATACCACTTAGAGTTTGAGTAAATTGGTTGAAAAAAAACAGATTTACCAAATTTTAATGTTTTCTGTGTGTACTTTATTTTAAGCTTTAGCTTAAAGCATTCATTTGAGCTTGGCGTGTAATAGGTTTCCCCCATTTCCATTCTCAATTTTATTGTTCAGTGCCCTGTAAACTTTAATACTATGTACATTTTCTTTTTATGATTTATAATTACTTTATTGTAAAAAAGCATATTTTGTCATATAAAAGTTAAAATTGTTTTTCTTAGTATTTAAGATTAATGAAAAGGATAACAGAAAAATGTGTACAGCACAACAGACGACATCACACACATACTCCAAAAACAACCCTCTTGAGAAATAGACGCGCACAAACAAAATAAGCCAAAACGACAAGCACAGGTCCTGGTAACAGAATTTGGTACAGCCACAACATGTGGATGGGTTTGACCAGTTTTCCATGGGTTCTAATTTATCATAATTTGTGTACGTTGCGTAACAGTAATAAAACTTATAAAAATACCATGGTACAAAGTTTACTGCACCGGATGCATATTTCGATAACGAATTTCTCTTTAGAGGTGCTCTTTTTGACTTATTTTAAAACCTAAAGCCTAATACAAATGTTGAAAAGCTGGAAAACCCATAAACACTATGTTTAAAAGTTTAAAGCGAAAAACGTTGAGTCTTGTTTAGAGTTTTAGTTATTTTTCAGATATGTATGTAAATTCAGTACTGTTTTCACATTTCGCGTGCAGTGAATCCAAAATTGTTTGATAACTTTTCAGATTATACAGCACTTGGTTGATTTGTAAAGATAATTAGCAACTACTGAACTATCTAGAATATTTGGATCATGATTGACAACAAGCGATGTGTTTGAACAGAATTGAATTTACTGAAGTAGATAAGTTTGACTGAAAGACTTACCATAACGTATTAATTTGTTGATCAGTCTTTTAAGAGCTGTTCAGATTAAAATGACCGTTTCAGCTGAAAATCGATTTACTAATGACAATTAAATCCGGATGAGGAATCATAACTTTGCCTGCTGGAAAACATTCCTTAGTTTAAATTTATTTCCCTATTCCAGCAATTAAACATTATTCGTATTTTCCTACCAGTACCGAAGTTCTGAGCTACTGGACTGGTGATACACTCGGGGAGTAACAGTCTACACCAGAGGTATCGACCCAGTGATAGTAATAACTTTAACGGTACCAATTTTACTGCACCAGATGCGCATTTCGACAATTAATGTCTCTTCAGTGATACTCGATGCCAAAAAATTTATACATCCTAAAACGAACGTCAAAGAAAAAATATTACCGAAAAAACAAAAAAGGTATATATAAATCAGTTCAACAATACGAGCTTATCATGAGGGAAACATAAAATATTCTCGGGGACTAACAATCTACCTGCAGAGGTATCTACCCAGTGATAGTATTAATGGTAACGATACTATTATCTACGATAGACAACACGAAGGCCATATCTGCACTGATAATATGGTGTACTGGAAAGGTATCCAACTTGAGGAGACAACAGCACTCATCGCCTGTTATAATATATATAAAACGATTTTGTTTTGAAGTTCGGCTGTTTAGAAACTACCCATTCTTCATATATTGTTGTTTCGGAAAATCCGTACCAAAAACTACTATATCCCTACTATATGAATGAATTTCGGAAACAAAAATGTATGAATGGGTGTGTTTCTAAACACCAACCAGACGTCTGTACCCAAATTTGTATGTTGAGACCGACCCCCCCCCCCCCCCCCCCCCCATACAACGTGTTCTGTATCAAAATTCTTCAGCATTGTTAGAACTGGTTAAGATGCATTCCTCACGTATAAATGCCTTTACATCTAACCTTGCTGAAGGGAGTCTAGCTGTTTGCCTGTTAATGATGTATAAATACATAGTCAAGTCCAATCTAAATAGGAATGCTATTGATTGCTTGATTGTTTATGATGTATGTTCCATCAGACCAAAAACGGCTATATCAGGGAGATGGGCATAAAAAACTAGTATATATATTTGTTTAGGGGCCAGCTGAAGGACGCCTCCGGGTGCGGGAATTTCTCGCTGCATTGAAGACCTGTTGGTGGCCTTCTGCTGTTGTCTGTTCTGTGGTCGGTTTGTTGTCTCTTTGACACATTCCCCATTTCCATTCTCAATTTTATAAAATTAACATGTCTAAAACAAGGATGGGATGGGGAACGAATTTACACTGCCACAAGAAAGATATGGACTGTTACAAAGGGTCGGAAAATTAAGCCTCAACAGCAGCCCCTGATGGGCCATTCTTTTTCTTTCTATGTACTCTGTCAAGACGGGTTGAGAATTTGTTACATCCCGCACAATCGTTGATGCCATTTCAAGATGTGTGGTGGTACCCTCAGTCGGAGAAATTGTGTCCAATTCTCTATCCGGGGTTTGCTCGGGAAATTAGGGACGTTCATCCTCAGGATACAAAGATGGCACAGGAAATACCTGTTCTACAAAAGGAAGGATTGACGGCATGAACCTAAGCTCAAATCACTTCTTCCATACAAATGTGCTGTAGCAAGTAAGGACAATGAATGTCGATAGCATGTTATAGCTTTTGTTCATAATAGATTTCATAAAAATAATAATAAGTTTTATAAATAAAAAATTTATTAAGAAACTAAGGTTCTAACTCCCTAAGGAAAAGTTGATCTTAGATGGATTTGGCTATCACTTTTAAGTCCCTTTTGGTAATTAAGCTCTCCACTTGTCTTGGTATTTATACAGCTTTGGCTTTTAAATATTTTGCTTTGTTACTGATGAAGGTAAAACTAGAAAAGCGCTTCGGACGCATACATTTTTTGTATTATTTTGGTATATGGTGAGAATCTTTCAACCATGCCATTACGTAATATTGACGTAAAAAGGTCTGTTTGCCATTGCATAAATATTTGAATTATGTCTTGATTCAAATTGATATTAATTTCAGCTATTGAAAATGCTTTTTTTAATGTAATATTTAAACGCATATTTGGGATTTTTTATGCAACGCCTACGATAGTTTTCTGGTCTGCGCGTCTGTTTGGCGGTATTTAGGATTTCGAGTATGAAAATTTTGTAAGCATTTACATGTAGAACTCCTTGAACTGCATCTGAATATTGAAATCAAAATATATGTAGCAATTATAATCACCATAGATAAAATAATTTGTGTTATAAAACTATAATATATAGATTGGTCGTAAAAAGCATCGAAAAATTTTCATTTTTCCCGTTTAATTTACCTATCTCGTAAATCCGTTCAAAACAATATTTTTTAAAATGATAAGTTATTTCTGTAAACATTTTCGTTTTAATTTAAAAAAAAAAATAAGGGGTCATAAGATTCGTTGTTTCAATAGTTTCGATGAATACAATGAAAATATAATAAAAAGGACAAAATAACAAAATGAAAATAACACTTTACAAATTGTAAAGTAAAATTGTATGTTTCCGTTGTGCTTTTCTAAATACTTTCATGAAAAACGTTCAAAGCCAAATGTTTGAAAGCCAAATATCAAAACGAATGAATATTTATTGCAAAAGCATAAACATGTATGGCAAAATTAACAACATATATAACATCTATACTACTAAAGTAGAGACCGATTTCATTGAGCCGCAACTCCTCTGAAACCATACAAAGTCGGAAATATGTGTGATATGTATAAATGTAGTGTTTTGTACTTCCTAAATTTGTCTTTGAAACAATCTTTTTTCCACAGAAAACGCCAATTTTTGAGAAAATATCCAAATTCGGAGACCGTTATCGATCCGTGTCTTATACGCTTTCGCGCATGCTCAGTCGATGTACTGCCCGACAACTCGGCCCCTGGCCAACTCGCACCACTCAAACACTCTCACTAATTATTACAACTTGCATCACTTCATCAAACTCGCACCACTCAAAAAAAAAGAGAACTATAACAAACTCGAAGAAATGTGTTTAATCATTAGATTGTTTTCTTATTCTCTTAGTAAATTCCTCCTTTCTCGGAGCACCCGTGTCACACAGAAACAGAACTCGCACCACTCGAAAAAAAAATACTACAAACTCGCACCTCTGAAGAAATGTTTTAAATCATCAGACGCCAAAATTGAAAATCGTCATTATCACATAGACTAACCATTCTTATTTTTTTTATATAAACTCTGAATATGTTGCTTTCCATTGATCATTCGCCGATTACTGTTCATTCTTTGGTTTTTGGGGAAAAAAGGATAACATTTTATGAATCCAACTGAAAATTGGATTCCCGCTCGCCGGACATACACATGGTTTTAAAAAATGTTTCCTTTTTTAACTGCGCAAAATGACCGTGCATTTAAAGCTACACATTCACATATGGACATATATGAATAACCGAAATAGAACCCATTGATTTATTTCAACAGCCCACTCGATTTATAACGGAAAATAAGTTAGTGTCATATTTTGATATTTTGGGATTTTGATATTTCTTACCCATGGTCATATAGAAATACACAATTTTGTCTATTTAGCAGTAATAACTTTATTTCTTAAAGTTTTTATGATAGAGTATGTATTGTTTGTTAAGAATCAATTATTTTTCCCTCTATAAATGAATAAAAATTGCAGAAATGCAATATCTAAAATTAACAAAAATATACACCCCGGAAAATTCCGGACTGAATGAGAAATTAGAAAAAAAAGGACACATAAAAAGCTTCTTATTTTTTTAACCATGTGATATATATCGGAATAATGATGTTTTACATTAAGGATAATCAATATACTACCATAAAATCAAAAACCCACCGATCAGTTGTTACAACCCATTAGAGTTTTAGGCTCGGATATGTTGGTACTATAATTTTAGATTATAACGAATGGTAATTCCTTTCGGAGGCTTGTTCTTATTTAACTGATATTTTTTATTACTAACTATCAAAACATATTTTTTTAGACTTTTGCGATAGTATTGATATATTTCTGTCCGAATTTATAATTTTTCCCACATTTATTCTTATTTAATAACATAAATACAAGGTCAAAATGTTTCAAAAAATATCACTTTGGAATATTCCGGACTGAATGAGAAATAAAAAAAAACAGACACAAAAAAGCTTCTTATTTTTTTCACCATATAATATATATCGAAATAATGATGTTTTACATGAAAGGGAAAATTCGCGATTTTTTACGTATAGTTTAAATATGTTCATTATGACATAAAATACATATTCACAAAGTTGTATCGCTAT